GGAATCTTGGGTGAGTTCCCACACCTTTTTCCCCAGGACTTGACCCCTGCCTGGAGCACCCCCTGCGGTCTTCCCTGCTGCCTCCCATGCGGCCCCTGCCCCTGGGGGCCGCACCAGCACTGGCAGGCATTCCCACCCGCCTGCCAGGCTGTCCCTGGATCCTACTCCCCGGGCCCGGTGCGGAGCAGGAGCCTGGGCCCGGGGCACTGCGGGGGCCACGTGTCTGGGGCTGCAGGCACGCGGCCTACTACTGGGGGGCTGGGATTTGAGGCCGCGCGGGTGGTACGGCCTTCAGACACGAGGCCTGCCACTGCCGCGCGGCCTGCTACCCCCATGGCCACCCAGCCTGCTCCTTCCTGGGCCGCCCACTACCTCCAGGCCGGGGATGCGGCCTGCAACTGCCGCGCGGCCTACTCCTCTCCCCCCCCTCCACACCATCCGCTCCGGCCGCCAGTGCTGGATTGCGGGCCGGGGGCAGTGGGTGCAGCTCCCCCACGGCCGGCGGGGAGGTAAGTGGGCCCTCGCGGGCCGCTGGGGGGGGTCCCCTTGCCCGTCGGGAGCCTCCTCTGCCAGTGAGGAAGGCTCCCAGGGCTCTGTCTCCCCTCCCTCCCTCCCTATTTGGCTGGCTTTATTTTCTTCCAGGGGGCCCAGCTTTCCCTTGCCTGGGCCCCCTGGTCCCCCCCCCCCTTTCTGGTTTCCTCTTCTCCCTCCCCCCACTCTCTGGTGGGCCTGCACCCCCTCTCCTGCTCTAATCCCCCTCCATATAGAGAGAGAAAAAAAAAAACCATCCCTCCCTATCTGCATCCCCTCTGGGCCCCCCCCCCAAAAAAAATTGATACAGACAGGGAAAAAAATTACAGGACAGAAATACAAGGTACATTACCTATTGGACTAAAAAAAGAAAAGAAAAAAAAAAGAATAGAATCCAACGTCAAGTACAAGGGGGACAATTCAATATATAAAAATAATAAAATAAAAAAATTATATATATCTATAGGGAATCCACGATAAAACTAAATTTGGGTACCCCCTTTCCTTGTTTCAGTATGTATTATACATTTAGGTACGCTTTCCCGCAGCGTCTGGCGCAGCTGATAGCGCCGGCGATGCCTCCCAGGTTCACGTGACTCTGGGCTGCTGAGCTCATGTGGCCCGCTTGGCTTGCGCGTAACGCTAGGGAGTGGATGGAGAATGGGGTTTTGTATCGAAGGCTGTTCCCTCCTGCCACGGGGGTCCCTTGACTAAGGGGGACATTAGGGGCTCAGGGATGGTCGTGGGGAGCATGCTGTGGTCAGATGCACCCCAGGGCGCATATCGGACAGGGCTCCCCGAGTTGGTGCTGCGTGGTTCAGCGGTCAGGACACTCTCGGGACGCGTATCGTCCCTGTGATAAGCTGGGTTGGTGGAGGTACGTTTTGCACTTTCATCAACGGTTGGCAGTGCGACCCTTCTTGGCCTGGGGCCGGATGGGTTTTGCCGCTGGTTTTCTTTGGGGCTCACCTGGCCCCTCAGCACAGGGTGTTTTTCCGTTCTCTCTGCAATCGGTCGGGATGGGGACCCTCAGTTCATGTGGGAGCTCCATCGGGCGATGTAGGTCCAGTTTACCAAGAACGCTTTGTAAGTTTACTTCCCAGTCATTTAGGGTACCCCTGGAGTTCACTGTGGTGCCCAAGGAGGAGGAGCAGGGTCAGTATCTCCAGATTACTTATTTGCTCAGTTGTCGTTTCCTTCCAGGGGCTAGGTTTGGGATGATGGCTCGGCGCAGCGGGCTGCATGGGTGGGGCTGCGGGGCCTTGCTAACAAAGGCAGCTGTGGAATCAGTTTTACGGCTGCTGCCGGTACGCCCGTCTGGTTTATTGTTTCCAG